GTGGTTAGGGGTGAATTACCCGTGTAGCTAGAAACCGACTCCAGTATCACATGCGCATTTGCACCCCCGTAGCCAAAGGAGCTGAGGCTAGCTCGTTGAACTTTCCTCGGCCACGGCTGGGGCTCGGTTACGACCTCCATATTATGGCGATCCATTTCAACTTAGGACCACGAGGTCAGTCAAAGATCCTATCTCAGTAAGTAGAAGGGAGTTAACTTACGTTTTGGATTGGGTGTCTCGACCCCGCGAGTGGGCGGAATCATGCCATGTTGAAAGGCCAGGACAACCTTGATTAGCGACGTAAGGCTGCTTGCTGCTTCGCTATGCCCGAAAGCCGGTTTTGTCTGGGTATTTTATGGGAGTTTAGTAGGTGAAAGTCGTAACGTCCGTGTCTCATTTTTTACTAGCATATTTTAGGTCACGGAGACAGGAAAAGGGGTTCACTCACGCCTCCAATCATGAGGGGTTTCCTGCTATCTTTAGAGAAGCAATTCCCCAAGGCATTCAACTCGACATGATCTCCTAACTCAGTCCCAGTTCCATGACATTCAATATAGTCTGTATCGGAAAAGTTGAGATTTGCATCCTTGTAAGCCTTGCGAACTACAACTTCCTGGAAGTCCGCGCTGGGATATATCATCCCAGGGGTTCGTCCGTTCCTAATAGCGGTCTTAGCATAATGAAACCGACTGAGTAGAGCTCAAAACTTACGAGTTGACCGCTGTTCCACGAATAATACCGTAAACGGTATCGTTATTTTTGATAGCTGAAGACAGACGCTTTACATACACGGCGTTAACACCTTCAGCTCGCGCATAACCATCAGCTGAGATGTCAAAGGTGTGGCATGTTGACGTTGGAGAGAGCATGCCGGCCTTCATGGCTGCGATGTGTGGTCCTGGAGTCATGATTAGGTTGGAAGCTGCCACGATTGCCCCGTCGCATTCCCCTGCTTTCAGGGCAGCCACCGCGAGGTGCAGGCAGTAGATTGAAGACGAGCATGCAGTGTCAAGAGTTAAACTGAGTCTCTTCGTAAGCGGTTTTCACACCAAAATACAAATTCCTTTTTAGGACCTTTTTAGGAGGAGACACCTACCTTGGGCCATGTAAGTTGAACGTATGACTGATTCGATTAGCCAACATGGTCAACCCAGATCCAGTAGCTTGGTAGCGCCGCAGATCGTCGGGATCTCTCATTTGCATGAGTAGGTTATCCTGAGTGAAATTCCCTACGTATACTCCCGTGTTGGAGTCGGACATATCGTTAAGAGATGCTCCGGAGTTCTCAAAACACTCGTAGACTACCTCTAGAAGTTTGCGTTGCTGCGGATCCATCTGGTTTTATTAGTAAGGTTATCGAGAAGAGATTAAGAGTAAGTCTATCAAGAGCCCTTGCTCGACAGGGGTTCGAATGATTAAACGTACTGTATGTCGTTAGTTACTAGGAGTACTAGGGACGAGTTTATTTACTGACCATATGTAGCTTCGTAGTTGTTTATACCGAAGAATTCATTGTCGAACTGTCGAATGTCTTCTCGTATGAAGTACCCACCGTCCACATTCGTAAGTCCGGATTTATCTCCTTTCGAAGAGTAGAATCCTTTGATGTTGTAGCGTTCTGGAGGCACGGGTCCCTGTCCAGATTTCTTGTCCATGAGGAATTGCCATAGTTCCGTAGGCGATCGAACGTCACCCGGAAGACGACACGCTGTATTTCTGACTTAGTATATTATTCCATATCAGAGAGTGTTATAGGAAAAATCCGTACCCATTCCAACGACGCAGACCGGATCGTCTTCTTGAAGACTACCCCCTAACCGACCATCATCCTGGTGGTAGGTTCTAGTGTGTCCATTGAGGTCCATTATATCGTAGACGTGCTGTATTTGGAGAATTCTATCAACACGGGCCAACGGCTTCGATTTCAAGCTTGATTATACTCAAGAACCAGTGATAACTTTGGAAGTTGAAAGCCAATACACTCATGCCTAACAATTATCACGTTGCACGGTCAGATATAAACTACTTAAAATACATATATACCTCCAGAACCCAACGTGCTTAATTCATATCTGATCATGTTCTAGGACTGCGAAGCTCTGCAGGTGACGGGGAAAAGGCGGCTATGCCCGCCCCAGAATCTGTTGCACTGCATCAGATCAGAGCAGAGGCATTTGAAGCAACAGTGGAATTTGTCTTCGAAAACCCGTTGCTTGTCCAAATCCCATTCTCGCTTGGCTCTAATCGAGGCATTGCTATGGCAGCACCGTACCGTCAGTGAGGTGTTGGAGGATCAGATATTGCATTGGCGGGGGTAACATTGAAGATACGGAGGTATCTTTACTTGAAAGGATCGTCCAACTGACCAACGCCCAGTGCAGCAGGAATCAGAATCCTTGTCAATTCGGCCATGTAACCACCCTCAATTTACTCCCGTAACAATCATGATAGATGCCGTGTCTAAGAACGCCGCCTTTTCACCTTGACTTAGACACTCCGCGGTACAGATCTGGCGGTGAACTTCAACTTCTGATCGTGAAATCGGGTGCATACCAGTGTGTCAGCCAAGGACTCCAATACCCCAATAACGACGTTTCCACCAATGGGTATAATAGATAAGCGGTTCACCTTAACCGTCACGGTACGGCCATATAAGCGGAGATAAGGCGGTTAGCTCTCCAACCAACAGCGTATAATGTATTATACACTGGTACCTTCTCTATCCCCAGCACCTTTTTCTTGGCCTTAAGACAAGTAAGAACCTGGAAACAGTGCTAGCATACATGGTTACCTAAAATGCCTACTACTGATTATTAGATTAAAAGGTTACAGGTGACAAGTCAGTAGATATCAAGTCAACTCATAGGTATTAATTCAATATCATATCTAACACATTATGAAGCATCCGGTAGGTATCCCATTAAGTACAAAATCAGCATTTCACTGCTCCTATGCGAGCCGTGTCTGTTGTCGCTAGCAGGAAGAGAAGCCTACTACTATCGTGCATGGGGAGTAGGTTCCCAAGGAAAATGATTCCTAAAGTCCTCCTGCTGTCTTTCATCCCCAAGTATCTCTTCCCTCGTAGTAAATTCCGTCGTAAACACAATCCCTGACTCCACTCCCTGTACTGGTCTTTTCGGCTCTGATAACTCGGGCCCCATCTGGTCAATCGACGATAGTGTTGTGAGAGGGACATTGTTTTCGTCCATCTTCCGATATCGTTTGAACGTACTTGGTTGACGTTGCCCCGGGAGCGGCCATTTGCGATCAGAAATATCCGTGGCCGTTTTGGACGTGCCTAACCATGATCTGAACGTCGTAGATAGCATAGATAATAACCGCGATCCTTTGAACGCTGCTGGGATGGCAGGTCCGGCAAAGATGAAAAACATGCACGTCATTTCGGCGATACACCAAAGAGATAATGCTCCTAGCCAATAAGCCTTATCTTCGGTGAAATAGTATTTGATGGTGTAGGCAAGTCGAGAAACCGCAGATGCGCAGGCACTGTTATCTTTGGTGTTAGCCGTCTCTGTCTGTGTCGGGTGTGTGACGCGCACTTACAAGAGACCAATAGTGAAAACTAGCGAAACACCAATCTTCTTGCTTCTAGACATTTGGAGGCCCCAGATTACCTTTTGTGGGAGTACCAGGATCATAAAGTCAAGGACAATGTTAATGCTTGCTCCAGCAATAAGGATGGCGTTTACGTTAAGGCATTGACTTCCTGGAATCAGCTGGTCCCATATTCGATCGTGTGGGAAGCAGGAGAAGTTTTCTATTAGGATCGCGATAGCGTAGAAAAGAATGTTCAGAACCATGATGACATGGCATATCCAGTAGAAGCCGGGCTGTGATCGATGAGGAGAAAATATACGACACCATTCTTTCGGAATAGATGCTTTCATGACGATCATGGTAGCTGAATATAGGTTGGTTCCTATGTGAACGATCTGGTCTAGTTAGAAAAGACATGACCATCATAAAAATAATAGGCCTAAATGCATTGAGCTTTGCCTACATATAAGTGCGTGGTCATATCCTTGACCCGGATATCCCATTGATGGACGAAGAATCCAATATCATCGAGTAACCAGTAAGTGACATATATGTAACCAACATAGGTCCCCTGATTGTCTTCAGATCAGCATATCCACTTCACGATGCGATTCTAGAGAGTTGCACTAACAAAAGCTGCTATGACTAGGTCTATTCAACATTAGTCGACGCATTCTACCTGAAAATGAGTAGCCGTCGATGCAGCAAGACTCACAATCTTCAATGACAGCTGTTTTAGTACACAAGAACCTAGAGTAGAGTCGGACAATAACAGAAAGCGATGATATAACAAGACAGAGAGTAGTCGCGGCAAATGCCATAGCAGTGCGATTCGGTGGGTTCAGGAAGTCGGATTGCATTCCGTAGGGGGGCTGTAGTGCGGGCCCATTGAGAACTGCCTGCTGCTCGGCGGGCGAGAGGGTGACAAACTGATCGGCCGACATCTTCGAATAAAGAGGGTACCTAACGTAAGCCCCTATGCTAGGGAATCGACAATAAGAAAAATGAAGATTCGGGACATGGAACTGATAGAATGCCTACTTCAGAGATAATCTATATGGGTTCGGAAGTCTAGGAGAACTATCTTTTACAGAAGAGATTACTGCCTCATCCTGTAGGGCTTATAGGGTCACATAAGCCTGGGCTTTTTGCAACCACCCACACTAAACCATATGATTACCTGTTAAAAAGTTGGTGGATGTAGGACTTTTTTACAGCCACCAAGTTACACGACATTTGGGGTATCAGGGGGTAAAGGATGGGGGGGTGGTATGGGGAGTAAATGTAACGAATACTTATTTTGACCTATGGTAGCACTGTACCTGAAGGATTGCCTCCTTGGGATCTACTCAACCTTCTCGCTTCGTGATCTTTCTCCTGTATTATCTCAAATATGTTACCTACCTAATTCTACTGAATCAAGGTTAAGCGAAAAAAAGACAATGGCGGACAGCGTGTTTACGGAGGATCAATGGCAGGCATTGCTTGCACTCGTTGACTCGGTTGTTCCCTCGGTGGCAGTAGGAGAATCGAAGACGACAAACAGCAATAGCATCGCCATCACTCAAGTTGAATTCGATGAATTTTACCAACAAATTCGGCGTAAAATGACAAATCCGCCTACCATCGAAGAGTTCCGGGAATATCTATCGGCACGGCCCGTGGATAATCCCAAGTTCGTCGGTGCTCTCAAGGGGACCATTTCCAACTTGCCTCCGACTCCAGTAAAGCAGCTTGGCTTCATTCTCAATGTCATTTTGTATGGCATCACATACTTTACTTTTGCCTCTTATTACATATTATCGAAGTAGTATTAACAAGGTGCATAGAACACGACTCGGTAGCTTAATCAGCACCGGGTCCTTAACACCCCTTACCAAGCAGTCAACACCCGTACGAGAGGCTATCATCCAATCATGGCAACGGTCCTGGCTATTTCTTTGGCCCATGATTGCTAAGAACTTCTTGGTCATGGGAAAAGTAGCTTGGAGCACGACTGACCCCCTCCTGCTGAGGATTAGCGGGTATGAGCAATACATAGAAGATGCCAGAAAGCCTAAGCCCGGGCCTACGATAGATTACAAGTTCCTGCAGTTCCATGATCCGCTTCCAGAAGGCGAGACTGTCGAAACTGATGTGCTTGTCGTTGGTTCTGGATGTGGTGGGGGCGTCTGTGCCAAGGTGCTTGCTGAAGCTGGTCACCGCGTCATCGTAGTCGACAAAGGGTATTATTTTCAGCCAAGCGAGCTTCCTCTAGCCCTGGACACTATGAGCAGCTTGTTCGAAGGCGGAGGCTCAATGTCAACGGTCGATGGGTCAACCTTTATTTCCGCGGGAAGTTGTTGGGGGGGAGGTGGTACAGTCAATTGGAGTGCAAGTATTGCGACTCCGGATGAAGTTAGGTCTGAATGGGCAGAAGAACATGGATTGGACTTCTTCAAGGAAGCTGATTACGAGGCCTCGATGGACCGAGCTTATAAGATGATGGGGGTTAGCGAGTCACATGTGCATCTAAATCACGGTAACAAAGTTATCCTTGAGGGGTCTCGGGCTCTTGGTTGGAATTCTAGGGTCGTTGCGCAGAACTCCGGTTCCTCTAGGCACAGCTGCGGTAGCTTTTGCGCTCTTGGTTGCCGGACGAGTACGAAGCAAGGACCTGCCGTTAGCTGGTTACCAGCAGCAGCGAAAGCTGGTGCTGAATTCGTTGAAGGGTTCGAAGTATCGAAGATACTTTGGGGTGATGATCATGGATCGAAGAAAGCGGTTGGAGTTGTAGGAACCTGGACACCTCGCGATACCGATGGCAACGTGCAAACTGCGAAGACCAAGACTAAGAAACAGGTCTACATCAGAGCTAAGAAGGTCGTCTTGTCAGGCGGTTCACTTAACACCCCCCTTATTTTACTAAGGAGTGGGTTGAAGGTTAGTCTTCATTTACACCAGTTGGATGAGTCGTTAACACTACATAGAACAGCCACATCGGGAAGAACCTCTACGTGCACCCTTGTAGCGTTACGCTATCCATCTTCAAAGACGAGGTCAGGGGATGGGAAGGTAAGTTTGACTCCTTTCAAAGATAGTGTACTAACACGATCGAGATGAAATCTTGACGAGCCTTATGTACGAATTCGAGAACCTCGACGGTAAAGGCCATGGCGTCCGTGTCGAAATAGCGAATATGCTTGTAAGTGGATTTTCTTTTTTTACATATTATTCATTTTTCGTATGGTATATCTGATGTCGCATCTTGCAGCCATTCATGTCCATGCTGCAAATTCCATGGCACAGTGGATTGCAGTACAAGGTCGATGCTCTAGGCTTTCGACATATGAACAACTTCCTCTCTCTAGCGCGTGATCGCGACACAGGCTCGGTATATCCGGACGTTGATGGAAGTCCTATTGTTGCTTATACGCCGTCAAAGTTCGATCGAGGAAATATACAAACCGGAGTGGTTGCTGTCGCCAAGATGTGCTACGTCCAGGGAGCCACGGAATTGATCCCTCCGATTCGAAGCGTTCCGCCTTTCAAAAGTGACACGCCAGCCATCGAAAGGAAAGTGGATGATGCCAGTTTTGCTAGTTGGATCAGAGTGCTCGAACAGGCAGATTTCACCGACGCCCTGCTAGTATCGGGCCATCAGATGGGCTCGTGCCGCATGAGCAAAACCAAAGAAAAGGGTGTAGTCGATCAATATGGTAAGGTGTGGGAGACGGAAAACCTGTACGTCGCAGATGCGAGCGTATTCCCTTCGGCAAGCGGAGTGAATCCTATGATTACTATAATGGCCATTTCAGATCGCATTGCCAGGGGTATTGCAGCCGGTTTAAGATAAAGACTTTGAATGCATAGGTACCTAAATGCAAAGGCTTTAGTCTTGAGTACAAGAGTGTATTAGTGTAGCAGTTGAAAAGTGTCTTTCGCAATTGTATATTATTACGACTAACTAATGAGAATTATCTAATACTTATTGTCACACAGCGTCAGAAGGTGGCTATTTCAATAGGTAATTGATCATCTCGATGCAAGATCGATTGATTGGGCTGGGGAGTAAGCGGCCAATATTAGTTTACACGCCCCTGGGCGTAATATACCTACACACATAAGCCTTGCCTGCTCTTTGTTTGACTTTTTATTCTCCGTTATCAAAGTTGCCATGGAAAGAGACGCAGTACAACTACAGTATCTAGGGTATCAAATGATAACAACATCAAAATAGGGGGTCACATCCAACAGCCTACTCCTATATTTAAAACATACCGGTCGGGGTGGCAATGTACGTGTCGCAGCGCATAATATATTGTGTGGTTCTAGTGCCATTCGAATCCTTCCGCTCGGTTTCGTATGCGCAATAAGTTCGGTCTGCGTTTGCTTCATATAACGTAGCTCTGACGGTTGTGAGTTAGGTATGATTCAAGCACAAGACTTATTCAGGTTGTGGTTGCGAAGTTATGAGGATCGATGTTACCGTAACACCATTTTCTTCTGCAAATAGCCCTGGCATTGGCTGTGGCCGTTTATTTTGAGGGCTGAAGGATTCAGCTCAATGACACCGGAAATGGTGTTCCGTCGGCACAACGAAATTGGAGCACGCATGTGCGTGATACTAAGGGGCAGGGATGAGAATCCTGTAGGTTAATACCAGAGATAATACCAGAGATAATACCGTATTATTGAAAGGTGAGCCCCGTTTATGCAGTACGTTAGTACTTAATCGAAATAGGATTACTATTGAAGCATCACGTTAAACACTTACAGACAGCTAATTACTTACCTGCGTCTTTAAGGCATAGCTCAAGCTGAGTTACATTTCTCAAGTTAAAAAAATATTAAATAAGACTACGTTGTTAAGAAAAAGGGTTTTACAAGATGGTAACTTAACGATTGAATTGTATTATGCATATAATACGAGTAATTGATCTATTATGTGCATAAATGGCTTGAGTCTCGGGTCACTTCCCGGATCTGATCTTAATAAAAGCGGCTAATAGCGAGATCAGCCCTATGGGTGGAACCGTCGACCCTCGTTCAGTTCTTGGAGAGACGATCACCTATATTATGGCTAAGTTGTGATTCACAATACAGAGGCAACTCTATCGTATAGGTTACGCCCCAGATGAGTCTTTTTATAAGACGAGGAGGAATTATAATAAGCAAAATTGAAGTATTGCTAACAGGTAGGCCTCTCTCAATACAAGCTCTAGTTCTCGTCCTAAACCGTTCATACTAGTCTCTAAGCTTGTAGGCAGGATCGTTCTTTATCCAATTTAACGCCATTCAATAACGACTGTCCCATAAGATTCTACTCTGCCGTGGAAATCGCCACTCTTATGATTTATGAAAAGCGACCTTAGACCCATTTGCACTTTTATAAGTTGACTTCATCTCGCCTTTCCACGGCTCATCATCTCTACTTTCTAACTTTTCAAACTGTCTGGCCACTCTAGTAAGAACGTAGGATGCTTCTACTAGACTCTTCTGTAAGGTCCTTGAACTTAGGAGACCATCGAAATTGAGTATGTCATCACCTTTCTTGAGAACTTCTGTTCGTATGTCCCTCCAATACCTCGGACGACGTACCAGGAGGAAAAAAGTGTTACCCAGTAAAGCAAAAGTTGTCTCTTGCGATGCCATCATTCCTTGAATAATTTGGCTTCTAATGAAGTCCCTATCATAGGTTTGGGAAGCTAATCCTTACATTAGGCTCTGTTGTGTGATCGGACCTGAATCCACTTGTTCATTCACCCCTTTCACTCCCTGATCAACATAGTAATCCAAGTACTTGTGAGCAGTTTCGCATGCCTGGAGGTATCTAGTTTGTGGTATGAATCTGAAGACCCGCCCAAGCAAAATCCGGATCATGGTCTAAAACAATGCATCGTGAAAAGACTTGACGAATTCTTCAGGGGTACAAGGAGCCTCATGCAGTTCTTCGTCGGGAGAAATTCCTAAAAGGAAGTGCAAGGACGTATTCAGAAACTAGCTTGATTATGATTAATAACATGTAAGTGAGGTAATACTTAGAATCGTACCATGATGTAGAGTAATGGTTGTAGTTCAACCGTTGTACCGTCTTTCGGGAGTTTCTCCAGAAAGTTGTCCACTTCTCGCGATAGTACACTCATATTAGCGAGGTTACTTTTAGCAAAAGAAGGTTTAAGCAATCTCCACGAATGGCGCGAGATGTCTCCATCCATGGTTAGAAAGCCGCGACCGCAAAGGTATTCCATTCCAGGAAGCCTGTGCGGTTGGATTCCCCATTCATGGTCGCGGGTGTTGATGAGCTTGACGTTTTCCGGAGCAATTGTGAAAATTGTAGGTTTACTGACGAGAGTATTGGCCTGAAAGGAATTGCCGTACCGCTGGAATAGATCATATATAGAACTAGTGTCGTTTTGAATAGCCGGCTGAAAATCAAGTCCCATAAGGGGTTCCGCCGGTTGGTGCTGTATTAGAGGCTCGCAACCTCTTTGACGCCTGACCGCATCGCTTCGATGGCGTTGCTAGATGAGAAACCCCACGACAATAAGAAATACGGCGATGAATGAATCCCATATACGGCCTATGGTGTGGTATAGATCGGTATATTAATAACTCCTCGGTCAGTAGGGAAAGAAAGCCGATACCCGAATGCTTTCAGCCTCTAGCTAAATCCTTTAGGGTCTCAAGCACGTTGACCATAGTGCGTGTCTTACACAATACTTGACAAGACTTTCTTTGTAATATCCATACATGGGCCCGAAATAACAAAGCAAGTCATTTGACACGGATCGGTTAACTGTTAGCTGTCATCTATGGTATATTTAGAATTTTTAAGGCTGGGTTGGTTGCATTTCTATGTCACAATGGGATCGCCACTATGCGACTTTTTCCCACTTACATCAATTGATCACCAATCACGCTGAATTAAGTTCTTTTTAATAGCTTTTACTAGCCTGAGTTCAACTGAAAAGCAGAGGCCATTGTTTATTATCGAGGGCATTCCTCGGCTACGTATGCTTAACCACTCCATACGGCAGGGCCCGGAGGGATATAGGAGTCTGGCTGGATAGTGCCCAAGTTGACTAGGATGCCCGGGTCATTAGACTTGTAGGCTCCTGGCAGAGCAACAAGAGGGCCGGGCGTCCCGTTTCCACCTCCAGTGATCTTGATCTGAGTGCATGCGAGATAGAACTGGGCGCCGTTCGCCTGCATGGCCTGGTGCAACGCAATTTGCTCCACGCGAAGCAGATATTCTCCGTCGGGTGTAGCAGCGGGTATGGTTGCATTGGTCAACACGTACTCGTCTAATAATCAGTTAGTAATCATTATATTTAGTCTTAGCGAATTGAAACTTACTCTGCGCAGGCCAGGTGAGCTGCTTGTTCTTGTCCATAGTCGGCTTCGTCGTGTGAATCTTGAACCAGACGCTGCCAGAACCATCCCAGTTCGAGGCACTCTTGCCCTCGGGGACTTTGGCTAGGTAATACTGGGTAGGACCAGGGTGGTTCACTTGCTGCGTCGAAATGTAGTGGATGGTTGAGCCAGCAGGCACAGTCATGATGTTGGCCGCGTTCTGCGAGGAGTAGCAGCGGATATCCGGGCTCGTTGCGCTCAAGACACCCGTCTTGCTATCGACATTCTTGGTCTTGCGCGTGGCAGACCAGTCTGCATCCTCGGACTTGCCATTGACGACAAGTCGCGGGAATGTGTCTGAAATAGTTAGGGGGAGTTATAGATAGGTAAAAGGATGAGGTCTGACTTACAGTGGGCCTGTACCGCCGTTGCGGCAAGCAACAGAGTTGTGAGGAGCTGCATCTTTACTATTTTTGCTACTTAAAGATAAAACAGAAAGAATGCAAGGAGAACCGACAAACACGGCTGAGATGGGATATAACTATATACTCCGGACCACGGGCCATCCTGATACTAGTCCACTGGGACAAGTAGAGGGATATAGTGATATTAATCTGGTGTATATTTAGTCATGCTTATTTGACCTCTATCCTCTACGAGAAGTATCGGATCTTGCCTCCATATAGCTAACAGTATTCTTTTTCCCAACCTATAAGATCACTCCCGGCTAATATCATATTTTGTCTGGGGTGCATTCACTATATATTCCTAGATTATCTCGGCAGTGAAGCGAAAATTGCGGGGAAGTCCGACGATACCTACGAGCGATGAATAAGGTCTCTTCCAAAATGTCAGGGGCTAGTTTTATAACCTCTTGTCTTTACTAAACTAGATCGTTAGATAGATAAACCGTCAGTGAACTTATTCCAAAGACAACCCCGCCAAGTATAAGTTAAGTCCATATTGAACTTATCCATCAGTTGAAGCCCCTTAGCTTAGTGACTTAACTTAATGCCGGATTCGATTTCCCCAATACGTTTGGACTTGTGCTAAAGGTCAGCGTCGAATTCAGGGGTTACCTGTTCATCTCTGGTGACTACCTCGTCGTAGCCGAACTCAGGTGTCACAGACTGTCGACGCTGGACCCTGGTTGTTCTACATAGGTTCGCGAGATGTGTAAGCTATCATAGATATAGTTGAGCAAAGAAATGCTTACGAGGAGCCAACGGCGCAGCTGTAGCAAGGGCTGCGAACAGGACAGCAACTATGGCTTGCTTCATATTGGGGAAGTATTTTTATGATAAGTTTAAGAGTTTGTGAGCGTTAAAGTGTTATCTTTGATGATAGACATAGCTCTAAATAGGATTAAGAGGTTCAATAGGTAGTCGGACGCTTTTGGTAGCTATATCTACCTATCTACTTCCTAGGACAATTATGAAGAGCTCTTTTGCGTACCAAGCACCTGGAAGCTATTAACCAACGGTGTAGCATTCGCCTGCGTGACACTAAGACGTATCCTGCTCGTCTCGACGGCTGCATCCAACCTATCAATACGCTTATATCCCAGGGATGTGCCCGTCACAAGCGTCTCATAAACGCCGTTGACAGCAGCCTCAATCGTATACCCACCGATCCTCTGGCCTAGGGCAATATGCTCCTGGGTAATGAAAGCGTCTACAGCGTAGATCCCACCTAGATCGATTTCCAGCCATCCCGCTTTCTCTTCGTCGTTAACTGCCCAGTACGTATCCTTGTTGCCGTCGAGCACGTTGGCTGGCCCGTAGAGTGTAGCGTTACCACCTCGGATGCTGCTTGCGTTTACTGCAAGCCCCGGTGTAAGCAGCTCGCGGTTGAGAAATGCGTCACGCTGAGCTTTGAATTTAAGTAGTATATCTACGTCACCCTTAGGAAGCTGCCCCGTCGTATCGGGTGGGACATCGAGCAGGAGGTTTACGCTTCGACCTACCGACTGCAGATACATGCTCATCAGGGCATCGGCTGTCTTTGGCTTCTCATTAGAATGGTAGAACCAGCCGTCTCGTATGCGCGCGTCTGCTTCCGCTGGGGTCCAATAGGTACCGTCTCGTACACCAGTTTGTAGCTGGTCGCCTGAATAGTGCGGCTGATCCTGAGTCCTACTGATCGTGTGCCAATTCGTCCCTACCGTCACTCCATCCTCATTACCCACCCATCGAGCATCTACACCCTGGTGACCCCACATGATTGCGCCTGGCTGATGCTCGCGGATGATGTTGCGGAAACCTGTCCAGTTGAACGTTTGCACGGTGTCGGAGCCACTGTTCCCATCGAGCCATAACTCTGATAACTGAATAGGCGAACCGTCACGCAATCGCATCGTAACCAATTCCGTTAGTTGCTGAGAATAAAGCTCATTATAATCACCAGCGTTAGCATCGCCGAAAATCTGCGGCTCGTCATACAAGGTACCAGTTAGGTTGGGCTTCGGCATAGCTGGATCACGGTGTATGTCCCACGGCGACAGATAAATGCCGAACTTAATACCGCATTTCTTCGCAGAAGCAGCTGCTAACTGCACGACATCCGCGTTGAGACCTTTCTCAACACGATCTTTTGCCCATTCTCCGTTGCCAATCTTATATGTTGTCGTGTTTGTATCCCATAGCGCCATGCCATCATGGTGTTTTGCTGTTAGAATCATTCCCGCCATACCGGCATCTGCAAAAGACTTGGCCCACTGATCCGTATCCAGAGCTGTCGGGTTGAAGACATCAGGAATGCTCTGACTTCTTCCCCATTCCTCGTCTGTGAACGTATTGGGTCCGAAGTGGACGAATGCGTAGTATTCAAGCCGATGCCATTCAAGCTGCTGAGCGGATGGTGTCCGTAAATATACGGCGGGTGGAGTTTGGCCATACGCCACGTTCATCAACCAACTCACGGTACTGATGAGCAGTAGCATCCATCGGTGGCTATTCGCAGGCCGCGATCTTTCTAGCATTGCGATCACAGTAGAGTGACAGGAAGTAACTCAATAAATGCGATAGCAGTATGATCTTGACGGAAAGCAATTCAACCTGCTAAAGTCTACATCGGATAATGTAGACTCTATCAATTCGGTGATGTTGTAGTAGACGGGCATCATTTCCCCGGATTCTCTTTACCGTACCGGGCGGGGATTCTTCGACGCTGTAACCGACAGGGACCGTGACTGGTGGAAGTGAAGCCGGCTTGAGATTTGCCGTATTCCATTTTAGGAAGTTGCTTAGAAGTTGAGTCTTTTTGAAAGTAACTTGACCTTGACATGGGGTTGTTATATAAAATTATCTAAGCAACTATTTTATATTGGAATTGTTGAATAGGAGAACACTGGCTTTAACTGGTTAATATAGTCCACGACCTCAAACTTACCAAGATATTGTGAAGTTACAACCTCAGATGAGATCTCAAAGTTTAAGATTCATCTGGACCGCAACCTACTCGCAGTGAGATATCGACAATATCAAAAAATGTAACGACTCATGTTGCCCAGCCACCCAACCAGAATTATCAGATACGTAAACTGTTTACATCAATGATCAATGTTGTCAAACCTCCATACAAAGTCGTAATTTGTAAGCCTGTCTTAAAATCGTAGCGGGGCTCTCGATCTCGCATGCCGAAGCTTACACCATATCACGTGATGACGTCATATCCAAGGATCATGCCATCGGGTTTAGCAAGCTCGTCCGACCTTTACTGCTAGCTAAGGTAACACTAACCACCTTGCCAAATGGCAACAGCTAGCTGGGAAGGAAACTCCATAGGTACGGCACAGAGTTATTTTCTTGATGTACCTTTTTCTTTAACCTCCAACAAATTTCAAACAACAAATTTCAAACAACAAACATCCGGACCTAGACGATCTTTTTCTGAACCTCGATTGGTCCGTATAGCCACTACCTCCGACCCATCCTCCTAGGTCCTATCGCATAAAAGATGTTCGCCAGATCAGCTTTTCGCGCGGCTCAGCCGCTGAAGCGGGTATGTACAATCAACATCTGCAGTCATCATCCAATAGCTTCTTCATCCGGAGCCCCGAGTTTAACTATTTAGCATTCAAGAGCTCGAAATAACTCCCAATTGCGCCCAATTGCATACTAACATGCGCTTTTCGTACTCTAGAATCTCCTCTCGCGCACATACGCCACCGAGCCCGCCAAGAGTGGCTCTTCTAAAACCCTCCTCTACACATTGGGCGCTGCTGGTGTCGCAGGTGCCGGCTACTGGTACTACTCGGGGCAGAGCGCCGGATCGGCCGCGGCCAAGGCTAAGGATATCGCGAGCGGCCCGCCCAAGAAGGCCTTCCTCGGCGGCGACCAGGGCTTCATCTCACTGCTGCTGAAGGACGTCCAAGTCATCAACCACAACACCAAGAAGTTCATCTTCAAGCTGCCCGAAGACGACCAGGTCTCGGGTATGACTGTAGCCAGTGCCCTACTTACCAAGTATCAGAACGAGGGCCAGAAGCCTGTCGTACGACCATACACGCCTACGAGCGATGAGGGCAAGTCACTCCTATAAAGATGAGATGAAAATAACTTTAGCTAATACGCGGGGCGCACAGATGCCAAGGGCTATATCGAGCTGATCGTGAAGAAGTACCCTAACGGCCCCATGTCGACGCACCTACACGACATGGTGCCCGGGCAGCGCCTGGACTTCAAGGGTCCGCTGCCCAAGTACCCGTGGACCCCGAATAAGCACGATCACATCGCGCTAGTCGCCGGTGGCACGGGCATCACGCCCATGTACCAGCTAGCCCGTGCCATCTTCAAGAACCCCGAAGACAAGACCAAGGTCACCCTTGTCTTCGGCAACGTCTCCGAGGAAGACATCTTGCTCAAGAAGGAGTTCGCCGAGCTCGAGAACACGTACCCCAACCGCTTCCGCGCCTTCTACGTCCTTGATAACCCCCCCAAGGAATGGACAGGCGCTAAGGGATACATCACCAAGGACCTCCTAAAGACTGTCTTGCCTGAGCCCAAGAGCGAGAACATCAAGATCTTCGTATGCGGTCCTCCGGGTCTGTACAAGGCTATCTCCGGTACGAAGGTCAGTCCGTCGGATCAGGGCGAGCTGTCCGGTATCCTCAAGGAGCTGGGCTACTCCAAGGACCAGGTTTACAAGTTCTAAGTTAGTTGGATTTTTGGGCAGCGAGCGCATAGAAAACCATAGTATAGAACTGAACTAGCCTAATGTTGGCTTGAGGGCGAAGGCGTCGGCGTGTTCGCGCAGTTCCACTTGTTTCTGCTTTGTGAGAAAGAACTCTTGCGGGGATGATGGATTTGTTCCTCTTTCGACCCATCCGCCTGTATTCTGTAGCTTAACCTCACATAGGGAGTATCTCAAAAAGAACAAATCCATACGACATTTGTTTTGGTGTTTGCGCAATTGGTGATATGTCCTAGGTTTCTATGTTGTCGTACGAGTTGGCCGGATATCCGGCACGCCCCCTTTTCTTACGATGTTACTTGCTAAGCTCGACATTCGATCGATCAAACCCCGAACGACAGATGCAGTCTTATCGGTGACCTTTGTTAAGAGGAATTACCATGAGGCATCGTCATCTTGTTTCTGGAACTTCGACAATACAGTATCGTTGCTACCGCCTCCCTCGGCAAGACTCCTTTCTACATCTAAATTGACAACGGCTAGATCTTTCTTTTTTTTTTTCCCTTGTAATTCTCAACTCATGATGTGCAGTCTCGGGCTCAATCTCCTGATATGGTAAGTAGCTCGCCAGGGAATCGTTTAAACACGCCTGCATGCTAGTAGTACAGACTATTCTATTACCATTAGAAAACTACGTGGATAGGAATAACGAATACGAATACCAATTATAGCATGTTATGCGGGCCAGTCTTGCGTATTTCTTACTTACTCAATATACATTTTCACGCCAAATCTCAAGCACTATATCACGACATAGAGAAGAGGCGCTTCTAGACTTGGCTCGTGGCGTCCGATAATTAAGCTTCGACAGCACGCGTCAGCGTAATTTCGTTCTTGAGCCGCGGGTGGAGTCCGCAATGCGAGGATCTGCTCAGGAGGTGGTTTGTTTTACGTACTCGATGGAACGGAACACGGGCATGCCATGGCTGGCGTATGTATGTAAAGGCAAGGTAAACTAGCAGATAGATGGGGTCCAAAAGGGTCATGCCAAACCACGATGCGAGGCGGGAACAGCCGCCCGGTCCAGGAACCAGGCGGGCCAAGGCGTTATATGCTTACGTGCGCGATGATAGCTTGCTTTCTTGCATTGGCTGCTTTTCCTGCGTTTTCGGCGGACTTAGCTGCGGCAGGAGTAGGTGGAAATTAGACTTCTAGAAATTACGGCCCCCATCGTCAGATATCGGCTTTCAGCTTCGGGCGCGTTGGGCGCGTCGGGCGTCTCCCGTGTAGGGAACGATAATATATACCATATGCCGTGGAACAAGGCTGCCTGGCTGCTTGCTAATCGATGCCCCGAGAAGAGAGGATTCTGATTCAGAAATCACCTTTTCCTCCTCCCTACACATAGTAGTTGTGGCAGCAGCTTCTTGCACGATGCCGTAGCTATCTCCCATGCCGGCTAAAGTCGCCTTGAGCACACCGACATGTGGCCGACAAAATAAATAGCTGGAGCTGGGCCGCGATTCCATACATACACGCGTGGCTGCCTCGCTATATAAGACCATGCTGCGTCCTCTGCTCTTGGCATCGGGCGATTCGCCGCAGAGTCCACGTGCGAAAGGGGGAAAGGGGGGGCAGCTGGACAGCGAGGGAGTTCCCATTGGTTTCTGCGATTGGTTACACAATGATTGGCGACATACGCCTGCCGATTGACGAAATGACTAGTTTAATTCTCCGCGCTGAAGGGGCAGATGGTATGGTGTGATGCCGGGTTAAAGTCGAGAGCGGGTGGGTTCCTCGATCACATAGATCCGGGGTACCTTCTGCTCTCTTTACCAGGCTCGCTGGCTTGGGTAGCTACCAGCCAGTCCTTTGACCCAGGTGGATCTGGGGAAGCGAAAAGGAATGTGGGAGCGAAGGTAGCATCGAGGCGAATTTAACCAGCCGCGGGATTGGATTCGGCATTTAGCGAGAGGCGTCCCGGAAGACTGGAAATGAAGCTCTCCCTTCTCATGTACGGGGAAGGCGATAATACGACAGCGAGGTTAATTATATCGTTTCCCCTTTTAAGGAATTCCTTTAGTCATCCCTCACGGCCACAGGTAGAGGTAGCAGTGCTGTCGCTCGAAAAAAAAATTTAGTCCATTATTTTTTTTTCCAAGTGAGACGGACAATCTAGAATACCGAGTTAATTAAGTGGCTTCATGTTGTCATCCCATATGTATGTAGATAGGGGTAGTACATCAAGGTTCATCTGATCGCAGCGCCGTTACTAAGCAAACGTAATACTGACTCAATGAACCACATACTCGGGTTCTGAGCACGACGTCGTAAACTCAAAATCCCACGAGCCCGCACAAATAGCGTTGATTAGCCAGGAACTTAAGACTTAGACGCAGGAACCAATGTTGTACCGGCTGCGTCCATCCGATTGACTACATGCCATGGGCTAACCATATAGAAGTTTATGTAAAAGACACGAGAAATTGGTTAGAGGCCAAAAAGTTGTAGTAAGTCGGTTGAAGAAACTCAAATGTTGAGAAGTAATGAGCCGCAAGTCACGTATTTTCTAAAGGAAACAACGAGAAAAGCATCAAATCGCAATGCGTTTGCGGTTTCCTCATATCAAAAGTCACGAGATGAAACGCGATTTCCCTAGTCTCTTGTAAAGTTACTGGCTGCTCCTAACTGTCTATGACGTCAATCCTGTCTAGGCGAAGTTTAGTGGCCGGGAAGTCCGTACATCGTCATTGTCCATATAATTCGATTCGTGAATTGACAAGTTGTTGTTTCGCTCTTATTTGTCGAAATTCGAAATTAATACAAATATTTTAATTTTATGTTAATACGCATGTCGATCGTCGTAATGAGTGTTTCGCTACCAATATAGCACCCCTCTAGGCTCACTTACACGTAACAATGGAGGAAAAACACCAAAATAGCCAACGACAACGGCCGGGGAAAAGTCCTCGGAAAGCATTCCGAGAGCACTTATTTCATTCTCTGCCCAATTATGCCGGTCCGTACAGCGTAGGGATAATGGAAATAGAAGTACCGGTACGTGAGCCGCGCACGTTCTCACGTATCAAGCGCAGCCATACGCATGCGCTGCGGATGGATACGGTCCTCTTCTCAATATACTACCTACCCATGTGACCCTTCGTCCTACGCGCAGAGCAGGGGGAAGAGACCGTCCAAAGCCACATGGCTGCCGAGGCCGCGCGCCTTGACGAGTAAAGGGTACGCAAAGTTCTTTTTAGTGTGCCACATTTGCCTGTTACGGCTTATATCGCGGCTACGACTATGTTCACTAAGCTGCCCGCTTTCCGGAACGCCAAGCTTGCCGGAGACCGCACCGGTGACTGCGCCGGTGCTGCATCTTGCTCATCGTCTGGTGCCCACAGCCAAGACACATTGACGGGAAGTGGAGACAAGCCCAAATTCCAAGTCATTTTCTTCAATCACGGATTAAGGGGTTCTCGAACGTGTTACAGTACAGTATGTGGGGAGCTTGCTAGCAACGGTTTTGTTGTTGTTGCAGTAGAACACCGTGATGGAAGCGGTGCGCGCTCCTGTGTCAATATTCCGCCAAGCGGCAAGCTGGCAGACGGTCTAAAGATTGACAACACAGACCCGAAACGCTCTTACAAAGTCGATTATATTTTCCCTCTAGATAATGCTCTGGATACGTCACCTCATAACGCCCGAGGTGTGGATACTGAACTTAGGCACGCCCAAATCGAAATGCGCATGTCTGAGATTGGAGAGGCGTACTATGTCCTTGAGCTCCTCAATAATGGCCAGGGGGACTTGGTCTATAAGAATAATTTGAGAAAGAAGGGCAATGCTGGGTCGAGCTCCAAAGGGTTAGAAGGTATCGATTGGTCCGATTGGGATGATAGGCTTCTATTGCGGAACGTTACGACAATGGGACACTCTTTCGGTGGAGCGACGACAGTCGAAATCGTTCGCCAGAATGACCGTTTCCCCTATATTGGTCAAGGTATCCTCCTTGATGCATGGGGACAGGCCACACCGAAAGTAGGAGAAGTTACTCACCAATCCCTTTGCAAGCCTCTTTTAGCCATCGACTCTGAGGCATTCATGCACTGGCCTGAAAACTTCAAGAGAATATGTGATATTGGAGAAGAAGCGAGAAATGGAGGGGCACTCTGCTGGATGCTCACCATTAAAGGGTCTACCCACCTTTCTCAAACTGATTTCGCCATACTATATCCTCATTGGATGTCTTTTTTTATGAAAACAATAGTAAATCCTAAAAGGGCCAGTGGCGCTAACCGTAAACTCTTCCTTGGAATTCTTGAGCCGAGTCCTACCTCCTGATTTCACAGTTAGAAATTCCTGTGTCGATGAAGGAATCCTGCAGACCAAAGTTCTTATTGCAGACGAACTGCCACGCGAACATCAACCCGATGGCAAGTGGATGGCTTCTCGTCTTAGGATACCTAACGAGTTACGGATTCGTACGGTCAATTGGGTTCGACAAAAACCTAAAGAATCAGTTACTACTGATATAAAAGGCAGACCGCTAATAGGTTTGATGAACTTCCCGCTTGGGAGCGAGGTTTGGATGCATCTCAGTCCAGACGAATAAAACCGGCAATATCCGGTTCGGTCGAGCCAGGAAGTTTAGGTACCTAAGAAAAACAGTGCAACCCACTCCTCCTATAAGATCTCGCGATTTATTGCTTCCCGGTACTTGCGTAGAAAACAGAGTAGCCCTGCGGGATACATCGGAGATACTACTCGGTAAGAGTCTGCATGTTCAATAAAGTTAGCATCGAAATGAGGACCACGATTGATATTGACGCTGGCAAGAGGGAAACTGGTGAGAAAGCTGTGTGTCAACATGTCGTACTATGTGACTGTTACATGACGTTCCAACGACAAGGCACATATGAAGCATGATACATGAAGCGTGCAGCAATGGCGTCAAATAGCTGTTCTCGCCCCAAAACGAACAGGGATATCGACTGTGGCTCAATAGGCCAAGACCCTATAAGAAGCAACCCGAGCTGAGGCTCTCACCATCTAAGGGAGATTTGTAACGCCTTAAAATGCAGCCCAATTCAGGTGCAGGATTATAGGATCTTCTGGAATTTCTCCAGTCGTCCGACAAGCTCGTTAGCCGTTAAGAGCTGAATAGAATAGGCTCGGGATCTGTCCATAAGTACGTAGCGAACCACACGCTCTTGATCCTTGAAATGTCGTCAGATCTCGCCCGACCCGTCCCTCGAAAGGGATAATGCGATGCAATGCGATGTCATGGCTCTGAAGGGGGCCGAATACTCGCGAAACACTACCCGTTTACCAGTCTAGAACGGGATCACCTAATGAAATTTGGTTGCGCTACAATTGGCCCATCTGGACTTTTGAGCTCATTGTATTTGATAGAGTAGTAGCTACTGTGGACTGGCTTGCGCGTCATCGACTATGAAGAGGGTAATAGTTCACGTATCTCGTTGTCGGCTTCTGGTCGTGCCCAGATTCGACAACCTGGACTGTTACCATTTCGTGGTTGCATTGCATGCAAACCCATGCAAGGAAAGCCGACAGGCGTGGCGAAATGTGGAGTTGGAGGGCAGCTAGAAGATGAAGACAGAATCAAGCGTACCTCTAGCGAATCGACATCGCATAGAGGGCGCTAGACGGCTATTTCGGTTAAAATACTGTTCCGATAAGATGGATTCCCATCGTGAGAATAATACCTAAGTCTCTTTTTTTCTTCGACGCGCGCTAGAATTGGGAAGAGGCTGTCTTAGCATTTCCGGGTGAATACTATCATTTTTGACCGTTCTTACTAAGAGTAGAAAAGACTCGTCGATCATGGCCTGAATTGTGTATAGCAGTAAATAAGCCCCTCCTCCGAAGTCCAGGCTGAACGCAAAGATTCAACGGCAGTAATGTTTTTTCTAGATGGGCTGATGGGCAGGTAGTAAACTAACCTCGCCTTCTTGCCACCTAAGAACGGGTGTGTTACGAATTTGTTTAATTAAATGGTCTAACACGAGTGGCTAGGTTCCGAGGCTCGATAATAAAATGATTTTGAAGTGCTAGACGCTTATAAAGAAGGTCTAAGAGGATCGTGCAAGGTTTACAAGACGTTTGGTAGTGAGGAACACGAGCTATTACAGCTTGAAAAATTATGTTTTCGTTAGAGCTCGTATTGTTAAGAGACGGCAGATAGTATACATTGTACATCGCCACTTATAATGTTGAATTATCTGGAAGTAGCCGCCTTGTGACCAACCGGATGGTAACTACATGGTGGCGCTAATGCCCACAGGGCAAACAACTACCTAATTCGACGGAACACTTTAAAGGTAAACTCGCGCTAGGAAGGTAGTATACATAGATGGAAGTAGCTAGTTACCTCATAAATCGTACAGTTGTCATCCGACAATACATCATGTAGAGGTAAGCACATCGGGCAGCTACATGCTCCAATGCTTTCCAGCGAGAAAATAAACATGTACCTAGGTACTTGGGACTCAAGCGCTCTCGGAGCATCAACTAAGATGATGACATACATTTCTTTATTGATGTCAGAAAGTTGTTGAGCAAATACAATTAAGGGAGATATGTCATAAATTTAGAAAGGTCACGCAACTTGCCGAAGTGCTTAGTTATTTTCTTACAAGGCACACTGCATCTCGGCCTACATGTACGCCAATAGCTTGCCGACTATCCTTTTCTCTATGGTGGCAGTGGAGATCGTAAAGATGCAGCTGGCCGAACGAGGGACAGGTACTTGCACTCATGTAATTTCAATGTTCAATGTTGGTTCAAGGCAATAATAACTATTGCACTTACCTCTGAAGTAGCTGGTATTTTCTGTTGTTAACTCCCCTTGGTAACTTCGTGTTGGCGTAATGCAGTCAAATATCAGTCTGACGTTAGGTAGCTTGGGGGTAGTAAAGCGATGGTCTAATTCCAATATTGTATTGGGACTTACGGAGGTACTTAAAACTAAGTACCTCACAGCAATGATGTATGTAAGGAGATCAGCTACTAACGGACGGCGGACGATAGAGCGGTGCAATCCCTGTACCCGGGCCGCACCAGTACCGACCGTTTTCTGTTTTTGGCATCAATTGCAGTCCACTTAGGCTCTAGGCTCTTTAAATCCAATCGTCGCAGTTCATCGGCGTAGGGAAGGGTCGATTAAAGCTTAAAGCTTAACACTGATTAGACTGCTTAGTTGACTTATCAAGCCCCGACAGACCGTTTCTGTTCCCCATCTCGTGTAAATCATAGGTCCACGATGTTCCCTGTTCCTTTTCTTGTCTTCGATTGGTAACTTGCATATACAATGTCTCTGCCCTGAAGGTAAATAAATGGAAATCACATAGGGTACATAGAAAACAAACACCTTCTCGTTCTCGTTACTTTTTTTTTATCGCTTGTTCTTCTCCTTTTCTAATGATTAATTTTTGAACCAATCCGACTGGACCTTAGTCCTGCCATTCGTTTCCAGACAATATTGAGAGCGTCTATCTAATGTTTAATACATACGCCACAAGCCTTGTATCTACCTAGGTAGCTAATTCGATCTGAATCTGATTTTACCCCGTCCGCTGGCCCCACGACGCCTGGGAGGAGTGCGCCTCGTTCGTTAGTCACCAAACCACCAAGGTCTATGTTCGTGATATCTAAGCCTACTTACTACATGTCTCTCCTTGCTTGCTCCGTCCTAGCCGCCTTCTTGCCGCGCTCCTAGCTTTCCCTGGTAAGCAAAACCAGACGAGTAAGCGAGCAGATCCGGTCCAGCTGATGTAACTACTACAGTTAAGCAAGTTCCGGGATCCAGGTATAAACCCGGCTATACGGACATACGCATCTAGAAAGCCAAGACCAGCGGGATATATTCTTTTCTTTTTTTCTTCCCTACTTGCACGCAAGCTCACTGCCGCTTCCCGGGCCTTCTATGATTAGATTGGAGGACCCGAGCAGAAATAGCAACTATCCAGTTGGCTTATTTTCTTACCAAACGTGCCGCATCTCGACCCGCGGCGATCCGGCCCTTTATCCCAGCGCGCACTTCCAACTTCTCCCGATCGATACCTAGAATACCTGGCATATCTGGCAGCCGAGTTTCTAGCCTGGAACAATCATTACCATTACCTTGCTACGCACCGGTTGACGCGTAAGCCTCAATATGACCAAAGTACAGAAGTCAGACCCAGGCCTGCCTTCCAGGTCTGACAGCTTCTTGAGAATGTTGGACTTGGAGAAAAGGTACAAGGTATGTCAATTTCTCGGCATGCAACCCTCCTTTTACACCCTTTTTAGACACACCATTTCCCCTTTCTCCGTCCCAATCCCTCCGCTATCCGATGTACCATTAATACGCCGTCCGCTTACGTCTTATAGATGCAACGTATCCAAGGTCATACCCCCGCGACGATCGCATCGCCAAGTACAAGTTCACCCTCCGCCCAGCCAGATAAACCGTTTAAGGCTCGGCGTGCAAGCGGACATCCTCCGCTTTCGCACCAAATCCAGATAATGAAAGCCGTGAGGCGGAGCTCTGCTCTTCCATCACTTTCAATATCTATACCTTCTTCAGCCGAGGACCCTGCCGTGGCGACGAATGGACCTCCCGGAGACCTACAACCGAAAAAGGAGGAGCGCACTAAAACGGTGACATTCTCGGGTCCCGAGGAAGAGGACGGCGGCGATTCTTCAGACCAGTCTTCCATATGCCAATCACCTAGCTGGGAGCAGTACGGACGGAAGAAGAAGAAGAAGAAGCCTAAGAAGCAGGACGCGGACGCGGGCAAAAAAAGTGAGGAAAAATCCGCGAACACTCTGAAGAAAAAGGGGAACAAGCTGAGCAAGGTTCCACCGCCAAATGCTCAAGGGGTTGAGTCTTTGATGACGGCGGACCGCTCACAATCAGCCCCTGAGCTAGACATCTTTCTTAAATCTAACGCTGCTAAACTAGATACTCCCATTCCAACGCCACCAACCGAGATGGCCAACCAGAAACTTGACAGCAAGCCGAAGAGCAAAGGCTTCTTATCTGGGTTCCTATTACAACATGGGAATGTGGCGGCCGTCCAGAAAATCCTTGATAGCCAGCGAACGAGCAGCGATGAAAACCATTCCGGAGGGTCACCTATGTTGAAACCTCAAACTACCGCCCCAGTAGACTCTAACTTCATAAGTCCTCGAAAGCCTCCTTCAATCGGGTCGGCCGTCTCGAATTCAACTCGCTCCATTTCTTCTCTGGATCAACTGCCGTCAAGCGCTCGAAATTCATCCGGCTCAAGCCATGGTCGTTCACAATCATTACTGTCGTCCACCTTAAATAAGCTAAAAGGGCCGTCCTATCTCTACTATCGCCCTCCCGAAATGTCCAACGGCATCAAATTCCAGCGTCCGAGCAGCTCTCGCGAACCAGATACCACTACCAGCTGGTTGGACGACCAACCTTCAAAACGACCCGTGGTACAACAGCCAGAACGTCCTAAAGAGCGGCCATCGAAATCGATAGAGTCTACCCAAAAACTTCCCGAGTTTTCATTTCCGCCGAAACCCAAACATGCTGCCACTCAACCTACAGTAGAAGTCGTCGCTCGTAATACTCGACCTCAAGCTCGTATAGAAGATCCGGGAGACGCTGGTAACGGAAACGAGGCACTAGAACCTAACTCATACCGCGGTCGTCGTATTCAGATGCCACAGGATCGCGTGCCGACTCGAGAAGGAGCTATGGAGAGGGAGAGGCGATCTCGACCCGAGCGTGCGCCTCGGGCTCCAAGGCAGCCGGTCGAATATGTAGAGAATGATGAAGATATTCCTCAACGAGCTGAGCAGCTTCGCCGAAGACTCGAGTCAAAGTACCACGTCAAGCAACAGATGAATGGATATATGCAGCCGCAAGTAGAAACTTGGGTGGAGTCTGAGCACAGTCCGGGGCTAGGGCCTTCTGGTCAGCAAGAACCCACAGATATCGACAATGAAAAGCTCGGTCACGCAGAGTTTAGCTTCAGTAGGGATGAAGAAGATGATAGGGGATCTATCGGCACTCATGCATCAACGATTCGACCAGTTTCTCGAAGACAAGGACGTAGTTCCCCTACGACGGACGGAAGGAAGCACGTTACTTTTCCACCCAATCCGAACACGATCGGGAGAGCTGTCACGTCTGGTTCGGCCGACGAAGAAGTGCAAGTACTTGTCACGGAGCCGCCAAAGCCAAAGAAGCCGACCGAATTAGAGGAGGTCATACCCGAAGGAAAACCGTCAAGGCTAGACAGATCCGCTGATTACCTCTCTTTCGTTAATCAGTCGTATGCTCCTCCCTCTTTAGAGCTACGGTCGCCAAACGAGGGCAAATTCCCATCGCCGCGAATCGACGAAGAACCCGAAGAAGAGGACGACTTAGATCGTATATTACAGCATATTCCGGTTAGAAAAGTCAACGAATTTGCCTCGTCGTCCGAATACCCAAGTCAAACTGCTATGCCAAGTTCGAATGCCACTAGTAGGATTATAAGACAAAAGCCAGCCAAGAACTCTCCTTCTCTTTCTTCTCATTATTCCGATAGCGACGTACCGGCGCTCGAACGACTAGGCATATCGCCGAAAGCCGCAAGGATTCTCGCCGGGGTAGAAACATCCAGCACATCGACTTCTCAATCAAGTACGGATCCCAGTAGGACCAACTCGGAGAGGTCGTCATCTTCCACATGCGACGATACTCCTCCGTCGCCGGTCATGGTACCGACACCCGACAGTTCCCGACTACGACCGCAAAAAGAACTTTCGGTCCCCCGGATGGACGTTCAGGACAGGGCTCCGCGAAGGGCCTACCGACCCCCAGCTGTGGAGTTGCCTTCAAAAAACACTTCGCGGTCTAGCAGTAGAGATGTGGTCGGCCAGGATGACAGCTGGAGCCGAACAGCATTGCCAATAGATCTTGAAAATAATTCCGCTGCCGCATCCAAGTTGAACGGTCTGACATCTAGCCCACAACTAGTGCCAAGCCCTACCTCAGCCTCTTTTACAGAGGACATCAAGGAAACTCTAGACGAGGACGAACTGATGAATAGGAACCCGCACCAACATTCCTTACCGCCTAGGGCTCAATCTGCTCTTGATGTCCATTCAAGGAATTTCTTGCCGGATTTAAGGCATCAGTCCCTACAGCAGAAGAAAGTGAAAGATGTTACAATATCAGCTAGCCTCCCTAACACGCCGCCACCAGAAATAGTTGACAAGGCACCTCGAAAATCTGCGCTGAGAACGTCTCGCAAAAACAGTGCCAACAGTGATGAATCTTCCACCGTAGTCTCCCCTGGTGCCGCTTATCTCCAAGAGGCCCGAAAGGCCGCGCCGATTCCGCCCGCCTCTACTTCTAGGGCGTTGCGACCGCACAACGCGCATAAAAACTCGTCCACTAGTATCAAGAGCGCCGGGACTTCGGATGGCCGATCGGAACCCCTCGCTAAAATGTTGGTTGAATGCTGTAGTTGCAAGTTCTTTCACGATATGCCGTCGAGGGTGTACGAATGCATGGCTAAGCCCGACTCGCTTGTCGAGGACAAATTGCTTGGTGTTTCGGCTACCATCACCACGATGGTCAAGTGCCCGTGGTGCGGGCATGGCATGAGTACCCAGTGCTGTTCCGGCTACGCTGCAGTGGTCTACCTCAAGGAAAAGCTTCACGGAAAATAAGAAGCGTGATGGGATGTCCCATTAGACTTCCACAAAGGCCTTAAGGATGTGTTATAGCTACCGAGCACAAGTCTAAGTCGCTCCTTGAAAATGTCGGGGAACTAAATTCTCTTTCCGGTTTTCTTTGTAACTGGCCACTAAGTTAGCATTTGTCTGCTTTGCATATTTCTTTAGCCGAAGCATCAGGCTCGTCTCAAAGATTCTATCTTATGTTGCATTATCATCATCAGCTACGGAGTAAGATAGCTGAAAAGGTTTTGGGAGGTTTAATTTTTTCTGTTTCTACAATCGAATGATATCGTCTTGTGCTTCGCGCCGGGGGCCAAAAGCAAGGTCAACCTGGGCTCGCGATACGTATCATTCTACAAATCTGTATACTAGATGAGCATGCAAAAGCATTGAGCCGATGAGGGAACGAATATAAACACTATAGGAGCAAGTAATATACGATACTAGTCCAGTGACATACATACCCCTGACCCGAGAATACGGAATGATATACCTATAAGATCTTCTGTATGACAAGGTTCAACGTGATGCTGATCAAGTCATATATATACAAGCTCCGCTAAGAGATAGCCAAGTGTTCCTGGCTTACACGTCAAACTTTGCCGAGAGTTGGCGAAAGCTTCGAACCGTGGTTACTCTACATCTTCAGCTAACCACACCAGATTCATACCCTTGTACACCAAGATCTTTCCAATAAATCCCCGGTCTCATCTCCCTTCCATCTCATAGCCGTACACCACACCAAAACACAAAATATAGCACCAACTTTTATCGTTCGTACGGTGTATTAGTAGCCGTGATATACAGACTGTGGCCAAGAGACTTAGATTTTACCATATATATCAGTAGAATCACCACAGTACACTCGCTACATGAGCGTCGCCTATATCTCCGGTGCAGATATCCCGCAAATATAATAGTTATAACGTTAATAGTATGAATTTGATTAAGCTAAACAAAAAAAAAGTACGTTCTAACCAGCCCCCGAGGTAGACCTAATTCGACAACCGTGCAAGACTGGTTGATAGCCCTGCAGTTAGTTACCTATTCGCAACACTAACTCTCAACTCCCCAACTTCTAACTCTGCGCCCAGGTCCCCTTGTTCTCCTCGACAAAGTCCCTAAACGCACGGGGATCCCGGCCCGTGGTCGCGCGCACGGCGTCGCTGGTGAGCTCCTCGGACCCGTGCCGGACCGCCGTGTCCATCGACGCTAGGACCGCGGCGTATTCGGCCGGTAGGCCTACGCTGGCCCAGCGCGAGGTGAGCTCGGGCTCGGTGAGGTCGACGTGGGTGATTTTGCGGTTGAGGACCGAGGAGAAGATTTCTGCTAGCTGTTGGGGGGTGGGGGGTGGGGGTTAGTATTGGCGGCGAAGGTGTAGGCCGGCGGAAAGGAGGGTGGGGGGATAGGGGGGAAAGGGGCGCTTACGTCGGCGTATGTGAGAAGTTCTGGGCCGAGGATCAGGTGGTCGGTGTTAGGGGCTTGGGGGGCCGTGAGGAAATGGAAGCTGACGGCGGCGATGTCGCCGGCTGAGATCCAGGGGATGCGGCCGGATCCGGTGGAGGAGTATATCTTGTTCTCCTTCTTGAGGGCTGAGAGGTGGTGCTCTGATAGGAAGTTTTCTGGGTGTGGTGTTTAGCTACGGTTCTCGTATAAAGAGGCGACAGGGAGAATGTAAGTGAAGACGGCGATATTTACCTTGAAACCAAGTCGGACGCAGCACACCCCACCCGATCTTGCCCGCCTCGCCAAGCTCCCGCAGATACGTGTGTACCTTGCCTACTAGCGGTCCTCCCTCGGCGACTATACTGGCGCTCAGCAGTATGAAGCGCGGGACGCCCTTGGAGAGTGCGAGGTCCACGAATTTCTTCATGGCATCCTGGGCTTCTGCGCGAGGCGCAACGAGGTGGACGGCCGAGATGGGAGTCGAGAAGATGGGCTCCCAAGTCGATTCGTCTTCCCAGTCGAACTTGACGCCCGTGTAGCCGTCGGGGGCACTCCCGGATCGCGATGCGACCAGGAACGGGACCCCGGCGGCGTGGAGCAGCGGCGCGATGCGGCTCCCAACTTTTCCTGTGCCGCCGAGCAGTAGGACTGAGCCGGATTGGGTAGTTGATGAGGACATGATATGGTTTTATGTGGGGGGTTTTGAGACAGAGTAATTATAAGTGGACGGACGAGTCTGGAAATAAGATGGAAGTAATATGCAACACGGAAACACTGCATCACCAACGTTGTATCACCGTCGTCTTATATAATAATATAATAATAATACGTGAGAACGTCAGGCAGATATCCGCTAACGACAGCGGGCCATCTCATTAGTCCATAGCATGGATCCATGGCGTGGACTACAATCGTTTGTCCATCGTGTAATCCTAACTCCACCATTAGGGCAACCAATCAAAATGAAGGGCCTGTCTCTATTCCGTAATCAATAGGCCGAATTGCGCCGTCCCCGGTCCCCATCCGGGGTTAGCGGATCTGCATGGATATACGCGGATAGCGGTTGAATAATCCCGCCGATACCTACGGCGTTAACGCTGGGGCCGGGAAAGTTGGTGATAGTTACATTCTATGAGGAGTTCGACAATGCGTTCTAACTGATACAGGTCTCATAGCGATATCTTGCAAGTAGTTAGTTTTTGTAGTTGTGTAGTCTAGAGAATAGTATAAATAACGATCTCTATCCGCTCTTGACAATTACAAGATGCTTGGCATTCCAAGTCACAAGTGCAAACGCTGGGATACATCGCCAACCAGGAAATCAAAGAAAACTCGCAACAATGGCCGCTCAATACGATATCCAGACCTTCTTGCTAGATAAGCAAAACATCCACGACACAGTGGCTCGCCTTGTAAGTGCTTACGGCCCCAATACCACCCTATTTAGTATTAGTAATATCCAAGAACGCAATCCCCTAACGATTTCTAACAAGACCTTAAACATGGACCTACGTTCGACCGACGGCCTCATCAACGACGTCTACGCCCCAGACGTCATCATCGACTACACGTCCATGTTCGGCGGGAAGCCGACGGAGACGACCAACGAGGCATGGGCTAAGAGCCTCGAGCCAATGATGGCGGCTTTCGATTCAACGCAGCACGTAGTCACGTACGTAGGACATCCCTTGCATGTGACAATATGTATATCGGAGACTTTTTTTTTTTTTTAGAGAAATCAAGAGCTAATTAACACCGACGCCGCAGGAACGAGGTCATCGAGCTCCCGCAGCCGACCAAAGGAGCCGACAGGCCCGACAAGGCTAGCGTCGTTGCTCAGGTCAATGGTCATATGTTCCGCCGCGCGGCGAGGGGGAAGCCGCTTATGCATAATGGGGTGAGTGATCTTGCGCTCGTATATTTATACTTCAGCGTCGGGCCATAGCCCGGCTCGGAATAAGGCCCAGTAGCTAACGGCAATATAAAATTAGGGCCGATATAACATCGAGCTCGTGCGACTCCCGGAGCTCGAGCAGAAGGGGGAGAACCCGTGGAGAATCAGCAGGCAGGCTACTGTCATCGGCTGGGAAGACGGTAGCTCGGATGTTATGAGTGCGTTTGCTGGTATTGGACATTAGGTAGGTCGAGCAGTCTGATTACGGGCAGTAAGGGATGAGATGAGGCCTTGATGGGGGTGACGTTACATGTGAGGTTGGCTTCCCTTGGGTACTACTTTCGAAGATATATTATACCTATTGTGTGGTAGCAAACTAGGTACATACCAAGGGAGGAGAGCCAGTCTTCAGCTGTATTGCTTTCGATTCGATCCGCCAAGCTGGTTTATGATAAATGAGCTTGTCACTAAAACTTATAGAAGATGTCTACTTAATCCACGTATACTTATACGTGAAGTCATTATAAATTGAACTGCCTTAGTTACTACCTGGCCCTTAGTATAAACTTGTTCTTTTGATTCTCTATAGTACTGATACGTAAGATTCGCTTTCAACTTGCAACAGTGAGACTAGAATATTACCCTAAATATTGAGAAGGGTTTAATCGGCATGTATTTCCATTCATTAAAGGGCCCGAGTGAACATCATTAAAGCTTTCTTAAGAGAAATCTATCTTTGCAGTCGTTATGAAGTATAACTTCAAATATACCTCTCATCCCGTTCACACGCTAGTTCCCCCTATTTTTCTCTTGATAACGAAAATATCCATAGCGTAACTCCATAGGTAGAAGGAGTTATAGCAGATACACAGTATACTTTTTCTTTCCTCTACTCTATTTTCCGCGCTCTTGTACATGATTCCGATACCAAAAGCGTAAAACCTAGCGTCAGTCATTCCTCCATTGGACGAAGATATACCAGCGCTTAATATACAAGACAAGATTGTAAACACGGAAAAAGCCCACTGCTCAGATCATAAGTCATTATACCCAATACACACCTTTGCCTCCCCACTAGCCTTCACCCCCCAAACCCAAGCACGTCCCCCCCAACCCCACATAACAGCCATCAGCACCAATGCGCCAGCATCTCATTAGCAATCCCGTAACGTCCCGGATCCGGCGTCTCTTTCCCAAATCTAGCTCCCAGAGCGAGATACGCCTCGGTCTAGTTGAATAGCGGTTGTTGCTTACACACTTGATGAGGAAAGATCTGGGACAGCTTGAAGAAGAGATATGCGATGGAAGTAGGGCCGCTGTAGAGCCCCTGGAACGACCAACCGGTCGAGTAGGTGTGGACTGGAGGGTGGTGCGTCGTGATACGATCGAGACTCGCTAGGAGCTCTGTGTTTGCGTCTACGGTCTGGAGGGGGCGGATGGGTTGGGGAAGAAGCGGGTTGAAGTGGACATTTTGACTGTAAAAAGAAGATGCTGCCGAAGGGACATTAGACCAGGGGGTATGAGGGAAGGCATAGTGTTTTGACCTGTGGGTGTTTATGATCTACTACGTTAACCCCAAGTCAGACTGTGTAAGTTCAAAATAACAAGATTATCCTTCTTGAATGATCTTCTTGAATGATTTTAGTAACACAAGTTGGAGTAACGGAATAGACAATTTTATGTATCGGAGCTACTATCCATATCTCACTTCAACCTCCCCATCCCGATATAGTTCTAGCAAATCCATCTCAGAGTAAGTAATACATGAGATAGCGTTCAAGCTGTACAACCGATCTGAACATGTTAACAAGATGACGTCATCAAAAGCAATAACCATCTACGTTAGTTGGGCGTGCACGCTTTCGTATGTTAATAGTCATGAATTCAAAAGAAAAAGTAAAAGAAAAACCACAAGTAAAGTCGAATGAAGAGCAACCCAATTCTAGATATCATTTACCCTCTTACTTAGGTAGGTAATTAAAAAACCGAAAGGGTAGCAATGGAACTATTAACATCGGCCAATAGGAAAACAGGACCGAGATACGAAATACCTATGCTTGCGATAGCAGCGCTGTCTGAGCCTTACTATTACAATTGTGGGGGACTTCCGGACACCCCACCCTAAGAGGTACGTTGAATAAACCTAGGTAGGTATCTTGGGAGGTTCGGCCATTCCTCACAAGTCATAGGCAAAGCAAACATTTGGATATTTCATATTTCTGCAATTTTCCCGGTACCTAGTGAACCTACTCTACAGTCTCGGCCGAGCAGTCTATTCTGCGCCGTTAGCTCATAAACCTTGGCACGTACCTAGATACCATTCGTAAGGCATGCCGTTTCGTATCATACAAGTCACCTCCCCCTATTATCCTAAGCTCCAGTTTCGACAGCGAATGCATATCTCGGCATCTGTGCCATCCGCTCCTCCGGGCTAAGTTCATCGTCGTATATCATCTTGACGTTCTTGTCCTTCTCCTTCTTTGACTTCTTCTCTACTCCCTCAGCTGGCTCCGTAGTTGTTGGGGTCTCGGGTTTCTTCGGAGGCTTGATTCTAGCCTCGGCCATCCTGATCAGTTGGTCGATCTCATCGCCTTCCTGTGCAGCACCCGACACCAGTTCATCAATAGTGGAAGCACTTCCTTGCCAGCCGGGCTGTCCAGGGCGAGGCGGTAAACCATGAGGCGCGGGAAGATTGCTTCCGGGCCGCGACGGTAGGTTCGGTGGAGGATATGCGCCGGGATATTGCGGAGGGGGTGAGTAACCAGGAACGGACTGTGCAGGGAATGCCGGGTATTGACCGCCAGGAGGAGGGAAGGGTGAATTCTATTCGTTTTAGTTAGTATAGGTAGAGTGAGGATTGAATTAGCAACATTGGAGCACATACAAATGCGCCGGGGGACGCGCTTTGTGCAGGGCTTTGGCCGTCAGGTCTACTCTCCCGAGGAGTATGACCTGCGCTACCTCCACCAATAGCTGTTTTCTGAGCGGCAACTCTCGCACGGTGCTCTGCTAGCCGCTTCTTGATCTCGTCTGGCGTCTCGATCTTGATTTTTTTGACCGGGCCGTTCCCATTCTGACCAGGTGGGGGATTACCCGTCGCGGCATATCGATCGGCTTGGGCTTGGTAGAAGTTCTGGATAATTCGCTGGTTGTGCTGTTGGACAATGTCTTCCGGGATACCTTCCATGCCAAAGATCTCGACATCGAGACCTTGCCGATTAGGTAACGCATTCTCGACTGACGACAGCGACTCTTTGTGCACCTGATTCATATGAACCGAAAGACCTTTAATACGTAGAAGTTAGCCATCATAGCGCGTCGGGCGAAGATGGAGCGGATAGAAAATTATTTACCTCCAGCCGTATTCAATCGTCGGCCACATCGGTCACACTTGAAATGTTTAGCTTTTTGGTGAGATATCAACAATTTGAGATCTTCAAAATCTCTCTCGCCTGGCAGAATTGTTAGCTATTTCTTCGACAGAGGCGAAGCTAGAGCCAGCAGAGCATACAATAATAACACCAAGCTCGGGAGAGGATCTCCTCAACATCGGGGTGACCGCGCTTCTTCTTTCCCATGGTTGCGGAGTCGAAAGGTGGTTGTTTGAAGCAAGAAAATAAAACGTATTTCCCTTAATTATTGGGGCTAAGTTTGTGATTGAATTGATGGTTAGGTTGCTATCGCGACGAAATCGAGTAAAGGCGGTGGTTGTCGTCGCGCAAAGTTGAATGAGGAACGTAGCGCGAAGAATAGCATTCAAGGGACATGGATTTAATTGGCTAAACCTCACAAGCTTCAGCCATATCCAGGTATGGGTGTATTGTGGCTGGTACAATACAGTGTGGCAGTGTTAGGTATCCACATGAGCACCGACATAGGTACCGGAATATTTGTCAGCATGTCCACTTACATCAGACGTCCCTTCCCACTACATGTGAACTGTCGCCCTATCATCCATTCAAGTATCGGGTCTTTCACCTTTTATTCTTGACTTAAGAAAGTCCTAATCATTCTAAAATCTAAATTCTTTTCTCATCAATCATTTTGACCACCTACCGAAAGTTGAAACACAGCGTGACCAGTATGACATAGCTACTCATAAAAATATACACTTTTAGACGTATTAGTACCTACCTTGGGTTACTTTAGGCACCCATCATCATCCCAAGGATTTTTTCGGTGAACTCCATGTCAAAGAAGTGTCTGTTATAGTTAGGTAGGCTTCTTTGCTGAGCCACCCTTGATGCTGATTCCCTGACGTCCCTTGGGGCATTCTCAACCTCTCCCTGACATCTTATTACATAACTCTTATCTCCTTTTAGATAGATTTACCTTTTGACTTGATGATTTATTGAACAGACTTAAGCAGTCCAGATAGTACAACTCAGGTGATAATAGCGATGTGTCGAATTTGCATATACTTTTTGAGACGCAGTCAGCAATGCAAACCGGGAAAAGGAAGTAGTCGAAAAGAAAACAACTTAAAAGGGAACCTTGTTATAAAGGAATAAAATGCGTAATCCCAAGTAAATAGGTGTGTAGTCTTATGACAACGGCCACTGCTGTGGTTCTCAAGCACAAGTACTTAAACCGCTCTCGCAAGTGACGACCGAACCCTCAGAAGCAGGTCACAACGGCGTTAGCCAGTTTAATTGCGGCAGGTTGATCAATACTTGGGGAGATCCCGGGTTCGAACCCTAGAGCTCGAGGTTCTCGTTTTCATGCCCATCCCCCAGAATCACACGGCTTCATCTCAACCACTGCATCATTTCGGGCAAGAGCTTCCGTTGTAAAAAACTCTCTATATGCTTAAGTTGAGCAGTAGCTAGGTACCTACTTAGGTACAGGACATCCGGCAACGGGGTGGTCCAAGTTCTGCCGAACTGTATACGCCTGTTTACATAAATGGAAGCGTGCACATTTGATAGCTCTGTTTCCTACCTAAGGTACTGATACTTCCCCGTCTGCATGCTTACATCTAAACTGTATGATTGGCCATCCGCTATATACAGGAGCCCTCAATAACCCGAAGCCATTAATAAATTCTTACTTCATTCTAGTTGCTGTCTCGAACCATTGCGAGACAGAAAGATGACCTAGGACACTATCCGGGTCCAAGATCGTCCGTATGAACAATACTAAAGTCTCAAAACCCAAGCGGATATTCACTAGGAAGCAAAGGCGAGATACATCCTTCGAGTTGCACGAAGAGGTGAGAAGTCAAATCAACATACATATATAAGACTCCGATACGATATGTTCTAGTCTTCTTGTGTTGCTAGGCGGCACCACGCCAGGCTTTCGTACGACTATCAGGTACAATAAGTAGCCTGCAGGAAAGAGAATAGCCCAAGCTGAGCTTCGCCGAGCGGAATATACGGATTTCCCGAGTGCCGGGAATTAGGCCTCCCTTCGTGGGGGTCGCTCTGGCAGTCGGGACTGTCTGTACGTGGTGACGGATGAGGTGAGCGGTGGCAAGATGCTGTGCCAAGCCCATGGGTGAGAGAGTGGGTGAAGGGAAAAGAGCCGCGATGAACCAGATTGGGCCAATGAAGCTCCTAGCGCTCACGGGAAGTTCCACGAGAAGCATAGAGCCGTAACCATTATATATCTGTGCCACCAACCGGAGCCAAACAAAATACTCGCGAATCAAATAGTTCACAATTGGTTGGTTCCAAATTGTAGGCTCAAGCAACACTAGGAAATGCGGCTCAAATGAGAAAAGTTCCCCGATCCCCCAAAATTGCGTGGGGCGGTGGGCGTTATTGTGTCGCTGAAAGCCGAGTAACAAACCACAGCCAAGTAGTAACATATTACAACAGGCCATGCGATCTTGCAGCGTAAACCATGTGGTGGTAACTCGATCTCATTCATATCAAAACAACTGTTAGGATCCCTGAGCTTGAGGCAAGCATTGTTTGCTTAGGGCACATCTAACAAAGGTGATGGAAATAAGAAGAAAAAAACTTACACATAGCAATGTCTCACATACAGCGCATGCTACCGGTAGAGAATGAAGCGAAAACATGCTGCTCTGCACGACGCTTGGCTTTCTTAGACCATACTTTGAGCTTTAGTAACCGACAACCTAGTTGCGGGTTTATTGAATCGTACGGATGCTCAGCTTGAGTATCGTCATACACAGTTGTGTCATGGAGCTCCGTCATTCTCGGTACGTAGTCTAGATCATTCCACGTTCTTTCGGTGGGAATAATATGAGAGCTATGTCGGATCTAAGTTTACGTTCTCATTGGAAGCCAAGGAGCGGACAGCATATCAGGCTGTATGAGTGGTTTGCGTTATGCGTAAGTATGATAAATTTGGTACCTCCATACATGACGTGGGGTTTGACGTAGGAAAGCACAAGCTTACCTTTTGATTCACCTACCTAAGAGGTACGTTTCTAAGCCCTTGCATCTTCAAGGCGACCCCTTCTGGTACTGCTGAGCAGGATTTGGGTAAAGGATTGCCATTACCGTCTAACGTCTCTCAACCCCACAGAGACGGAATGTATGGATTATCACGGCAAAAACGAATCGGAAAGGTACCGAACGTGAATGCAAGCAGCCTTATCGGGATAGGCACACGACGTGTCAAGTATTACATGTTTCATCGTTCAAACCCTCGACTTGGGTAGAGGGAACACGTAGTGTTAGGTTCGGATATATCTGCTGCGCGACATCAGACTTATCGACAATGCGGTAGTGCCACGACTGGACAGCCAGTTGGGAAAATCGTAATTGGAAGTTTGTCTGATGCATTTATGCATTGAGGCAAACCGGAAGATGGAGTGGCAAGCGTTGTAGAAATATATCCAATTTTTAACCATCATCGTGGGATGCCTCGATAGTAATATTTCGAGGCCAGTTATAGTCTATACAGTGGATAATGACGAAATGTACAGTGGATAATGACGAAATGTAGAGATACGAACCGCACACGTGGAAAAATGAGTGCGACGAAGGCATGAGTAGAAGGGGTCGTGACATATATTGGTAACGGGAAACCAAATTGATGCGTGATGAAAGTATACGAGAATACGAACCATGGGTATGAATTTGGGCGACAAGAGTGTGATACCTTTAGGACTCGCAGGGCTTAGGGCTGGGTCCTTAAGTCTTTGGTCCTCTGAATAGGAAATAGGAAGCCTTGTATAAGGCAACCTAGGCTAGCCATAACCCGCTGCCTAGTAGTACAACACGTGATCTGTAGGACTCGATCAGCAGGAGTCGTCCTTCAGGTGCGCATGAATATTTGGGTGTTTTTTACCTCCAGGTAGTGAGTTGAATCGAATAGCCGCTATGCGAAAGATTGTAAGTTGTCGGTCGGGTATGTTAGGTGATATGAGATGCGTAACAAGTTGTGTGGTAGTTGTACTGCAATACCTGATTGGTTGTAGGTAGACCCCCCAACCGGACCTGGTCGAACGTGATTGGACCATAGCGAAGGGGACCAGGGGTGAGTGTACCGTACTGCCTCGACATCTCTACATAAAAGCCCACTTGCTCCTCTACCCTCCTCTTCATTGGGGGGGGGGGGGGGGCCGGGGGCGCCGCCCGCCCCACCGACAGCGAAGGCAGAAAAAACAGCCGGGAGCAGTG